AAAGAGATACCAGTTGCTAAACAAGTTATATACCCGGGGCTATATCTCGACACCAGACTGACGTGGAATCCCCACACAAGACTTAAAAACAACAAAGTACAAGACTTGGACTACTACGAAGACTTCTAAGATCGAAATCGAATTTGACAATTAAGCTAACACTGTACAAGACTTCACTAAGACCAACATGGACATACGGAGTGGAACTGTGGTGTACTGTCAAGCTTTCCAATATCCAGCGCATCCAGTCTTTCCAATCGAAAGTCAGTAGACAAATTGTCAAAGCACCCTATTATGTCACTAACCTCACTATCTACAAAGACCTCAACATTCCTTTATTCAACGAACTAATCCGGTCCGAATTCCAAACCTTCCTCACCAACCTTTCGAACCATCCTAACCATTCTGCTCGAGCCCTCTCCACTCATTCCCATCCTGACAACCCACGACGTCGCCTCAACCGAAGGTGGACTCGGGACTTCCTTGACGCCTAATCATACACACTGAGTGCCAGCAATGGCTAGCTCCTCAAAGTATGTGTTCTACTGGTGCAACGCTGGCATTAGAGCTAGTGTTGTGCTGTGTGATTATTACTAATTATAGTGCGTATGTCTGTTATAAACGGTAAGAATCATTTGGTTCAGAATGTGTAAGAAAATTAAATGATAAGCTTTCCAAGTCGGTAGTTACAAAAGTAATTTCAGCCGAACAAGTAAATTTGTGCAAATAACGATAATAGACGAATAATAGATAAGAGAGACAATTTTTTTGTTTATACGAATAATTTTCATGTTAAATTGTACTCATCATGGAAATTTTACTCCGGGCTAGAAATTTAAAAGGTGATTATTCTTTGAAGTAGAAGCATCTTCTAGTTTAGCAATTTCTATTGCTACAATGATCAGAAACATTTTTTATTTATTTGTTTAAACGTAAAATGTTAATATTAATAATTATAGTGTCATCAAGTCCAGACTAAAGATTTAAATAACGCTGTTACAAAAAAATTAAATTATTTTTACAAAATCAATCACTCCTTATTATTTAAACAGGTCGATACTGGAAAATAACAGAAAACAGTAAATTACAAAATAGAATTTTTTCTTTAATCATATGACTTCAAATATTCATTATTCATGAAAAAGCTTTTCTTTATTTTCATATTACTTTTTTAAATAATGAAAATATTATTAAAATGCGGTATGAAAGTTGTTATTTCACGCTCTAAATGGTCCATATCGAATAATCTTTAAACCTAGTCAGTTTATTATGTCAATTCTACTAGATTCAAACTCGCACATTTCATGACATTCTTAAACGTAATATAATTTTTCTTATGTCCGGTGTATAAATTACATAAAATATGCAATTTGGAAAGCTCAATTTCGAAGGTACAAAATTAATATAAAAAAAGCTATATAATAACTACTCAATGAATGTTCATTCATATTTATGTATTTATTTTAAATCTATTTGAATTTATTCATTATAACGGAATTATTTATAAGGAAAATTTTTTTAATTCTGTTAGTCAAATTGCAATAATTTAATTTTTTTAACGAGGGTTCGCAACAGCAGAGGTCATATAAACCCTCAGGGTGTTTTTGAAAAAAGCCCATTTGTAAGTATGTCGGGTTCGAATGAAGGGCCGCTGTATTCGAACCCGGGACCTTTACCTTACAGTAATGAGCGCCTTGTCAACGCCTAAACCGTTGCGGCCCCCCCCCATTTTTATTTATAAATGATAAAAGGCCAATATTAAAAAACGCATTTTTTAGCGATTTAGCTGCTTGTTTTCTTACAACGAGAATATGGCTGTATTATTTCGTAAAACCGATACAATAATGTGTTTATTGCAATTCACGCAAGGACTAATTATAATGATCAGGTCAGTTAAACAAATTTGTTTGGACGTATAAAGTTAATAATAATAATTACAGTGTTCGTGTAAATCACGCACTGGTTGGACGAGTAATTGGTTCAGAATGTGGAAGAAAATTGATAAAATGACTTTTAGATTAATAAATTATACATTAGATTTATCGATTATAAACGGATTAGACAAGCAGACGGTTAACTTTAGTAGTTTGTATGTTTTAATAATTATAGTGTTCATGTCAATTAGTCTTGGAGTGAAATGTATTTAGCTCAGAATGTGGAAGAAAATTGAATCACAGGATAATTCCAAAAATCACCTTAGGGTTAAAATAAAAATAATACTTTAATTAACTAACAATTATTTAATTTTAGATCAAGAATTACAAACGGGTCGGAGTTGTAATTGGTTGGAAAATTGAATGATAGGCTCAAGAATCCAAGTTCCAAAAGTAAACTTACGATTGGAAGTGAATTGGTATAAAAAAAACCTTTAAATTAATAAATTCGCAAAACATACGAATAATTGACCAGAGTGAAAGTTTTTTTTCTGTATGATTGGACGTTAATTATTAATCATAGTGATGTCGTGATGTATACACTCGCCAGATAAGAGTTTGGTTGACAATGTTGTGACCAATTTGTCAACAGGCTTCTTAAATCTACTACAATTGAAAAATACATAACTAACGAGCTAAACAAAATAATAAGGAAAAGAGAAAATCAAATCTATTTTTGCATACGAAAATTAAACTAAAAAGTCAATAGTTCGAAAAGTTCCCTCGGAGTGAACGGTAAAATAAGCGAATATTTCAGTACTAAAGGGAAAAATCCCTGCGACTCCCATTGGGAAAGTAAAAACCCTAAGGGTTTAAAGAAATAATACAAATAATTATAAAAATAATGATACTTTCAAATGAACAAAAAGGTATCATATGAGCAATTGGTCAAGTAGAATTTTTGTTTGTTTGAATGCATAATGTTAATTAATTATATTGTTGTCCTAAATCATGAACTGGGTGGAAAAGGATTTGGTTCAGAATGTGGAAGAAAATGGAATGACATGCTTCACCAGTCAGTACTTACCAGTTCAGTAAAAGTTAATTTTAAGTAAAACTAAATATTAACTTAATAATATTTTAATAACATAATAATTAATTAATTTTATATTATGTAGGTATATTTTTATAATTATTCAGAAATCGTGAGATGCGAACTGGTGTGATAGGTTTCAGAAAAACATTTTCTTTATCGTGCGAACGTTTCGATCTTTATTGAGATCATCTTCAGGGCTCAAAGTGTTTGTCTTCTGTGTAATTGTGCCATTTCTTGGGTGTCGTGTTGAGAGTGCCAGTCATATTTTATATAATACATTAATACGTTATATTTTTATAATACATCAATAATGATTACGCATTGAATAGGCTACTGGATAATGAACAAGAAACCCCACGCAAAAATTCAACTGGAACAGTTTGTATTGGTCAAATTTTTTTGCAAAAAAGCCTAGAAATAATAAAGAATTAAACTATCCAATAATTAATAAATTATAAATTAGGCATATACATTATTTCGCATTGGACAAGCAATTGGCTCAGTATATATTTAAAATAGCAAAAACAAAATCTTTAGAAGTTTGTATTGTTAAGATTAAAAACACCCTAGGCATAATAAAGAATTAACCTATCCAATAATCAATTAATTTTAAATTATGTAGGTATATTTTTATAAAAATCAGTAATTATTACGCATTGGACAGGCAACTGGTTGATAATGGAAAAGAAACGCCCTCATAAAAAAATTCATGTTTAGCAGTTTGTATTGGTCAAATATTTTGCTAATTACTAGCTGATTAGTAATTAATGACTTACAATTTAGGCATATGAATTATTTCACAATTGGCTCAGAATATATTTAAAAGAGCAAAAACAAGATTCTTTCAAAATTTAGAAGTTTGTATTGTTAAAATGAAAAAACACCTTAGACAAAATAAAGAATTGAACTATCCAATAATTACATCAATTTTAAATTAGGCATATAAATTATTATGCATTTAACAAGCAATTGGTTCAGAATGGAAAAAAGTCAGAACTAGCAAGACTTTTCATTGTTTAGTAGTTTAGTAGTTTGTATTTAAAAAAAACAAAAATAAACGTACAAATAATAAAGAATTAAACAATCCAATAATTAATACATTTTAAATTAGGAATATCAATTATTATGCATTAAACAAGCAATTGGTTCAGAATGTAAAAGAACGGATTTTCTTTGAAGTTTAGCAGTTTGTATTAAAAAAATAGACACAGAAATAATAAAGAATTAAACTATTATAAGACTTTCCAAGTCATTAGTTCGCAAAGTAAAATTTTTGGTAAATGGTAAATTTGTACAAAATACATTTTTAAATTAAGAAATATGTTACATAGATAAAACTAGTGTTGAATATCCTATACCTACACAATAATTAATAAATTGTTAATTAGGCATAGAAATTATTTCGAATTGGACAAGCAATTTGCTCAGAATATATTTAAAAGAGCAAAAAAAAAAAGATTCCTTCAAAATTTAGAAGTTTGTATTGTTAAAATTAAAAACAACTTATACATAATAAAGAATTAAACTATTCGATAATTAATCAATTTTTAATTAGGCATATAAATTATTACGCAACAAAGAATAAGAAAAGAATTTTTTTTTGGCAGTTTAGCAGTTTGTATTGTAAAAAAAAACCATAGAAATAATAATGAATTTATTTATATTATAATATAAATATAATAATAATAATTTATATTTTTATTGTAAAACTTTCCAAGTCAATAGTTTGAAAAGTAAAATTTTTGGGAAGTAGTAAATTTGTACAAATGACATTTTTAAATGAACAAATATGTTATATAGATCCAATAAGAAGATTTAAAATTAAAATTATAGTTAGAAATAAAATTGCATAAATGATCTTTTATGTAAGTAAATGATTAGTGTTGTAGGATGAATAATTGATCAGAAAAAGCAATTTTTTTACCAAGAAACGACTTTGGTTTCTATAAAGCATTTGGGATCTTTTTTTTTTTTTATCCCAAACAGGTTTTATAACAACAAAACAACACCCAAATTTCCTGGTAGCTTACCGTACTGTCCGGAAAACAGCTGGCCATCGACAACACCACAAAACAAAAAAGGCACTTGTAGGGCGGCATCTCGCCAACTTGTGGGCCCGCCGACTTCTTTGAAACATATATATGCATTCGGGGTCAGTAGGACGCAGAGAAAGCAATCCGGTTCACTGGCGTCAAAAGTCCTAGGTGTATTCATTGGCGAGCTAAGTTTGAGGAAGGGCTTTCTTTAGATCCTTTCTTCAGGATCGATCCTTCCTGGGCTGCCGTGCTCCTGAAGGTCATATCCAGGATCATATTCAGGAAAGCTCAAGGACGCGAAAGACCCGATACATACTCCGATATAGTGTTAATTTGTAAACTACTTCAATTGATAATTTTTAAAAGAATTCTTATTATAAACAACTTTGCCACAAATTAACATTTTTTATTTTAAAAATGTATTGGAATAATAGAAAATATCAAATGAATGAAAATTAATTCACTAATTAACATTTTATTTTACAAGCCGGACGTGTACTAAAATTGGACGAAAATTGAGTTAACACACTCAAAGGACAGTTGGTAAACAAAGCGTCTAATTTAAAAATAATAAATTTTACACGCGATAAACGTGTAAAATTATTAATCGAAAAAGAATGATATTCGAATCGAGTCCCATTAATAAATTGCTTCCCTATAAATGAGAAAATGGCAATTAATAAAATAGGTAAGAGAGTCTGTGCTTTTAATATTCCCAGGTCGCGTCTCTGGGTTTTAAATCTTTACAAATCTCTGCGAGCCGAGCTCTGCTCTCCCGTTTAACCATACTTGTAATTCTGTGCTTGAAAATATGAGTATTATTTTTTTATAAAAAGATTAATTTCAAAGAAAAAAGCTTAAAGCTGTTTACTGCTTCGCAATGCTGCATTAAAGCTAATTCTTTCCTGTGTTAAATAAAGAAAAATACATTTTAACATATACCTCCGCGAGAAAAAAAAAGTGAGAATGCTTATTACTTAAAAAAAAAGATTTTTTTAAAAATAAATCACAATTGTATTATAACAGGATTTGTTTAAAAAAAATTTTGTTATCATTTATTGATTGGCTATCGAGGTAATATATGTTTGCCGAAGCGTCAGAGTCAGATCCCACAAGTGACATTTCTTGTCCGTACTTTCGTCAATAAGTATCTTGATAAATCAATTTTAAGTTGTGTATATCGCACACCAACAAGAAAAGCGACACAATTTAAAAAAAAATTACGGAAAAGACAGGTGGAAGTTTCCTCTTCTCAATTATGTATTATAATGCGCAATTACGGTTGTTGCAATAACTGTCATGATTCATCAATATTGCTTTTCGTTTGTCCAAGGCTTAAGCGAAAACATAAAACTTTAAAAATCCAACTGTCCTACACCTAAAAACTACCCCTTTGTGAATTGTGACACTTTTCTTTCATATATTGGCTTAAGTTTTGTTTGCTCTAACGATACTGGTGGTATAATAAATGACTGAAAGGGTATTTCTTTGTGATAGTAATAGACAACATACAAATCTGAAAAACAAGCATAAATAAGCGGAATTATTTATATGGAAAAAAGTTCTTAATTCTCTTAGTCAAATTGTAATAATTTTACGTTTTTAAATATATTTTTTTTAAACGAGGGTTCGCAACAGCAGAGGTCATATACCCAAAAAAGCCCATTTGTAAGTATGTCGGGTTCGAATGAAGGGCCACTGGATTCGAACCCGGGACCTTCACCTTACAGTCATGAGCGCCGTGTCAACGCCTAAACCGTTAGGGCCACCAACGCCCCCAATTAAAAGTTAAATAAATTAAAACATTCAAAACATCGTTGAAACTATAAAATAATGATTATTCGGAGATGTCGTAGGTTTTAGAAAACCATTTTTTTTATCGTGGCAACGTTTCGATCTTTATTGAGATAATCTTCAGGGTAAGATAATCCAGGCCTGGGATTTATAAAAATTGTTTAACTTTTACAAATACATGTAGGATGTGAAAAAATGAATCTACACAATGCTAGAAAATGTTTGATTAAAAAAATGACTGTATACAGTGCTAGAAAATTTTAGATAAAAAAAAGAATTTATACAATGTTAGAAAATGTTAGATTAAAAAAAATTATACAATGCTAGAAAATTTTAGGTTAAAAAAAGTTAAAAATACAACGTTGTTAAAAAATTATGACAAAAACAATATTATACTTAAGAGTGTTATTAAAATAAAAAAAATGCAACTAAAATAACTCACGTTCACTCTGGATCAAGTTATGGTCATGATGAAAAAAGCAAATTTATTTCTTATTGCCAAACTTTCGACCTATTTTAAGGTCATCATCAGGGCCTATATTAATTTCACAATACGCAAAACATATGTGTACAATTGATTTTCATATTGATGACATTAAAATAGGTCAAACGTGGTAGTAACATCTGAATTGCTTTTTGTTCAAGAATATATTTTGATCCAGAGTGTTCGTGGGTGAAAAAGTGATCGATACTTCTAACATTGAAAGCTAAAATAATTCTAAAATTAGTACTACTTTGCTTTTAGAATGAAGAGAAAAACACAGCAAAAGAAATAGGACTGCTGTAAGATTCAATTAAGGGCGTGCAATCTTCTTTTCTCGCATAAAATATAACTGTGCTATTTCAGTTATAGCACACAATATTTTGATTTTCTGTAACATTTTCGACCTGCAATTTTGAAACTTCACGCTTCCCAGGTTTGATAGTGAAATCTGAAGAGCCAGAACTATCAGCATTATAGGTCAAACTTTTCTTCTCATTAACCGTTATCAAAGTGCAACGAGAAGATCCAATATCCATAACAGTTTGCTCTAATGTAGTTGCCGAAGTGGAATTTGAAAACTGACAAATCCATTGATGGCATTATTGATGGCAGTTTCTTGTTCTTGTTCATTGTCAACAAATTTTGAATCAGTTTGTCCACGTGATGTGAAAGTCACTTTCACAAATATATATATTTTATGCAAATAACCTCTAAATCATGAATGTATCAATGCACCGCTGCGATTATTGATCCCTTGACATGCAGGAATAGTTTATTAATAAGTTTAATTCACTAGTTTTCGTGGTCCGTTTGACCAAATAATATCTTTCAATTAATAATCTGTATTAAAGGTATTGGTTTAGATAGAAAAATCAGTGTCACAAGCGGGATTCAAACCCATGACCTTTGGCTAAATACGCCGCTGCTCTACCACTTGAGTTATCGTAACTTCGATCCACTCGGGCACCAACTTCCTATCTCAACCTTGAAAAATTGGCAAAAAAAGAGGGAAAATTCAAAAGGTGGGGTTGAGATGGGAAGTTAGTGTCCGAGTGGATAGAGGTTACGCTAGTTCAAGTGGTAGAGCAGTGGCTTATCTAGCCGAAGGTCGTGTGTTCGAATCCCGCTTGTGACACTGACTTTTTTTATCTCAACCAACACCTTTAATACATCTTTATTAACAAGATTGGTCGGTTATTGTCCACTTTTCCTGATAAATACTCATGCTATAAAGCTCGACACAGAACTATGATATGCCACTTTTCGTGAATGGTGACAGTACGTTTCCGACAATGCAAAACTGACACATGGTGCTGCTTAGCAGCTAAGAGTCCATCTACTGTTGGATCTTTTTCCCTGTCGCAACCCGAATTCTTGAAAAAAAAACCCAACCACTAAATAATCCGATTTTTTAATTTTTCGACTCGTATCACTTTTCTTGTGGGTATGCGAAGTATATTATGAAGGTTGAAGTATAAAAATCTAACTACTGAGTTAATACAGAGTAAATTAATACCAATTAAGGCGATCCTTTTTTCGTCTCTGAGATTATGAAGGTGGATGTTGACTGATAAACCAAGGGGAGGGACTGGACATTTCCGAATTGCATGAATTATGCATTGGCAGTATGAGGAGGCGGTAGATTTTATGCAACAGATTAAATCCATATTTACGAACCGTTCCGATTTATTCGATATTCTATAACAGAAGATTACCATTTTTCTCTCGACATATGTTTGAACAATTGGGGGGAATTTTATTTTCAAAAATTTTGGTGAAGTCTACTAAGCAACATGACGACGTCCTCGATCGTCATGTTCTGTTCAGTTCAGTTTGTTTTGCCTGCAGGAAGCATTTGATCGTTTGCTAGCTTTGTCTGACAAACGTTTTGGCATTTAATTATCTTCAATAGTTTGCCTGTGAGCCATTATGTTACTAGTATTCTTTTATTTTAAATTTAAAAAATATGCTGAAGTATGCAAATTCAGTAACCTGTAGCTTGATTTCTTCGAACATCCTGGTCTGCACAATAACTAGTTTGGTATGACAAACGTTTTGATAATTCCCAAATTTCATTAGTTGGTCTGTGTAGTATCGTGTTAGTAGTATGCTTTTATGTGAAACTAAAAAAATATTACAATTAATTAAGGTTTTTAGTTGAGATAAAATAGTCAATGGCACGAGCGGGATTCGAACCCACGATCTTCGGCTAGATGCTCCGCTGCTCTACCAGTTGAGCTATCGTGACCTCGATCCACTCGGACAAGTTGGTGTGAATTTTCCCCTCCTTTTTGCCATTTTTCGAGTGGATCGAGGTCATGATAGCTCAAGCGGTAGAGCAGCGGCTTATCTAGCCGAAGATCGTGGGTTCGAATCCCGCTCGTGCCATTGACTTTTTTATCTCAACTAAAAACCTTAATTAATTGTAATATANAATCGAATCCTGATTAACCGACATTTGAAAAATGGTCAAAAGGAGGGAAAATTGGAAAAGTAGGTTGAGATGGAAAGTTGGTGTCGATAGCTCAAGTGGTAGAGCAGCGGCGTATTTAGCCAAAGGTCATGGGTTCGAATCCCTCTCCTGACACTAATTTCATAATTTTTTTCGTAAAATGTGCTTGAATTTACCTTTTAGGCTTACAATCCTTTACAGTCAGATCCATTTAGTATTTTGTTTTATCCATTAGATTTCGACCAAATAACTTCTTTCATTTAATTAATCTTTATGTAAGGTATTGGTTGAGAAAAAGTCAGTGTTACTAGCGGGATTCGAACCTTCGGTT